ACCCACACACACCCCCCCCTGCCTCTGCCTCCCAAATGCTGGGATTAAAGGCATTCACCACCACTACCCAGCCAGATTCAGTTTTGTGTGTGTGTGTGTGTGTGTGTGTGTGTGTGTGTGTGTGTGTGTGTGTGTGTGTGTGTATGTGTGTATACCTACATCTGGAGAAAGCTAGAGGTTGACTTTGGGTATGCTAAACTCCATATTATTATTATTATTATTATTATTATTATTATTATTATTGGTTTTTTGAGACAGGGTTTCTCTGTGTAGCCCTGGCTGTCCTGGCACTCGCTCTGTAGACCAAGCTGGCCTCCAACTCACAAAGATTCGCCTGCCTCTGCTTCCCGAGTGCTGGGATTAAAGGAGTGCACTACCAATGCCTGGCTTCACCTTATTTTTAAGACAGGATCTCTCAGTGAATTTGGAGCTTTCTAGTTTAGCTAGCCTGGCTGACAGCAAGCCCCAGGTCTCCTCCTCCACTCTCTCAAACTAGGATTATAGGTATGACCATCACACTCAGCTTTTTATGTGAGTGCTGGGGGTCCAAACTCAGGACTTTGTGCTTGTGTGGCACTGCTTCCCTGACTGAACCTCCCTAGCTCTTGTCAGATCCTGCCCATAGGTTCCCCTTCCAGAAGGATTAAACACTCATTTTGCTGGTCTTCTCTCCCTGAAGTTGCCATGCTAGGTCACACCAGACCTGACACACTTCAACGGGTACTGCTCTCAGAAGTCACCTGGGAGCTGTTCTGACTACAGTATATTCGTTCTCCTTGGAAAACTGTAGCTGGGGCAGAACCCTTAGTCACCAGGCACATATGAGCCAGAGCCTAGAGGGGACTGTGCATGTGACGACGGGAGGTGGCCACTGCCACTTCACTTCTAAAGCAGCTCTCTGGGTTCCTGTCTGTCATTGTGCTTGGGGGCCTTCTCTTCGGGTCAGCCTCGTGGTGCCAGCTCCACAGACCCGGCTCCTTTGCACAGGAATTTATGACAGGAAGGTGGAAGACATTTATGCACTGCTTCTCCTAAGACCTGCTGTGACTAGGCCTCTCTTCCAGGTCCTGGGGCTGTGGAAGAGGGCGGCCCATGCTGAGGGGAAGTGGGGACAGATATGGTTGGTTGCTATCTTCAGTCTTAGTTGGAGATCATCCTGGGGTTGCCTTGTCATAGATGGGACATGGTTTGACAGAATAGAAAGCAAACAGGACGAACACAGCCCCAGGGTTTCCAGACTTGGCACATAGCCCTCCTCTTCCCTCAGACGGGTATGCAGGGTGAGGGAGCCCCAACCATGGCTGTGGGCAGTTCAGACTACTGGCCTGAGACTACTCCACCTGAGGAAATGGGATTCTTTAGAGGAGAGATGGCCAGGTCAGGTGGCTCTGGTTCCTAGCTGCTGCTGCCATAGCCCCACCACCCCACTGCACTATGCCACTGACTCCTTTCACGCAACCAGACACCTTGGCCCGGTGAGGCTCACTTGATGCAGGCTCTGATAGGTGGGCTCAGAGCCATAACAACAGGTGGCACCTCCTCCCTGCCAGCCTGTTTGGCTCGTCCTGTTCTCTTCCCTGCCAGTGGGCAGGAGCTAAGGCTACTGAAGGACCGAGACCTAAATAGGCGAGGGCCTCCATGGTCAGGGAGGGTCTATGGGACGATACCCTCCAGATGGGCAGATCAGATCTGTAGACCTAGGCAGATAGAACTCACTCAGCCTCCCTGTGGAACATGTTGCAGCTGGGGACCCCCAGACTCCAGGGCCATGCCTCCCTGGGTAGGACCTGCCAGGTAGGGCTTGTCAGGATTGAGGTGCCATGGCCTGTCCAAGGAGATCTAGGGGAAAGAGGCCATCTGCCCTCAGCCTGGGCCTGGCTCAACACTTCAGGGTCTCTAGGAGATGAGGGAAGGCAGGATTGGTGGGAGGATCAATGGTGGCTTGGGTAGAGAATTAGGTTGTATCCGCATAGTCCACCTGGATCTTGTTGAAGAGAACTTGGACATTTGCTAGGTTGTTTCTCAGGGTTACCCTCTGTACTCCCTAGATCTCTTTATAGGCAAAAGAGTTCCTTCTGTTTCCTCTCTCTCCATCTTGGGTGGGGCCAGGGAGCTTGGACATCTGGGGTGTGTGTCTTAGCCACTCAGCCCAACCTCTTGGCTCTCAGAAGATGCTGGGGAAAGGGCCAAGGCTGTCTCAATGGCTGGGAGCTTGCTTGGTTCTGCCTGGTTTGGGGGAAAGTTCTCTGAGTCCTTTGCCCTCTTCATTTGTCTCCCAGGACCTAAGTGTCACAGAATAGGGCAAGATGACTGTCACAGTCCCTCCTAGCAGCCCATTTGGCTTTCCTGATGAGTCTAACTGTTGGCCTTTTCATCTACCTATAGCCCGATCTGCTCAACTTCAAGAAGGGATGGATGTCAATCTTGGATGAACCTGGAGAGGTAGGATGCTGGGCTGGAGGGGGGAGGTTGGGCTGGGCTAATGCAGGGCTTCTATGGAAAGGTGCTTGGGCTAGACTTGGGAACCAAGGTGAGGGCCAAGTGAAAACCCTTAAGGAGTCGAATTTCTGGTCCAGGGAAAGGGAGACTTAGTAGGAACTCAGGAGGGACAGTTTGCTGGCTATCAGCTTCCTTATCTCTCATCTATTTTAACACCTAAGTTGCAGGGTGGAACCTCCCTGCTGTGCACACTCCAGGTCCTGTCTTAGGTCTACAGGAGTGCAGAAGCATGTTGGCTCTCCTTCCTCATGACATTGATAGCTAGGAATCTGAGGGTCTTGGTTGGGTGAAGGCTTCACAAAAGCCTGAGTTGTACAGATTTCCTGACAGTGGAGTATGGAGTGGAGCACAGGCTCTGTTGGTGAAATCACAGCCTCAGTCACCAGGTCTGTGACATGCAAATGATGGACAAAGTGGAAAACAGAGTCACTGTATTGAGGGGGCCAGAAGCCTCTGTTGCCTGCTGGGAGCTCAACTCATCACCCTTCCATCTATCTAGTCTAATGTGTCTATCCTTGGGAATACCTGAGGCTGTGCCGTTCACTAACTCTGTTCTGTCAGCTGCCAGGCAGGCTGGAGGCTGGGAGCTAAGCTGGCTCCCTGCCTACTCTGCCTGCATGTGTCTGTGGCTCAGATCTGCGTGCGGCCCGCATGCCGGGCAAGGCTCAGAGCCAAGGGGAATCGCATTGTGTTTCCTGCCCACACGCTTTATTCCCCACAGCTAGCAGCCTTCTGTCCCTGCTGCCTGCTCAACATCCCCTAGTGGCTGCTCTCCAGGCTCACACAAGGCCTGGCGCCCTGCCAGTGACCCCTTCCTGGCCTCCCTACCCAAGGTCTCTGGAGGGCAGAGGGATTACGGGCCCCACCCAGAACTGGCCGTTACTCATGCTCTTTCATAGGGTTTTGGAATGTCCAAACTGGAAGGTCCTTAGGAGTTTAGCCAGCCCAGTTCCTTGTACACAAATGGGAGTCAAGCTTACAAGAGTGAGACCTCTTTCAGGCAAAGTGATTCCTTGGGCAGCCCAGGCCTAGACTGGTTTTTAGGGACTCTGGTTTTAGGCTTTCAGAGCTCCAACCATCTTCTCTGGCAGAGTAGGCCTAGAGGGCCAAGAAACTGTTTTTCCATAGAACTCACCCTACTGCAGATATAGTTGAGGCCTCAAATGGTACCTTAGTCCACTCCAGGGGCAAGAATGCTCCTTTGTTTGTTTGTTTGTCTTTCAATACAGGGTTTCTCTGTAGATTTGGATCCTGTCCTGGAACTTGCTCTGTAGAGCAGGCTGGCCTTGAACTCAGAGAGATCCACCTGCCTCTGCCTCCCAAGTGCTGGCACTAAAGGCATGCGCCACCACTGCCCAGCTGGCAAGATTGTTCTAAGTGACTGGCCTCTTTGAACTGTTCCAAAGATCCTGTACAACATGCCTGAAGAGACACATGAAGGATTGATGCCTCCAATGTGACTCAAAGCCTAGGGTTATCATCCCCACTGTGCAGTCAGAACACTGAAAACTGGGGAGGTGACGGCACTGGCTGAAGGGCACACAGCAAGGCAGCACTCATAGTCTGAGGTTTTGGTGCTAAACCCTGTTTCTCAGGGGAGACCACATGGAAGGAAGTAGAAAGCGTCACCTCAAATGCTAGAAACAATATCATGTCCTTAAGGAACAAAAACAAGAAACAGCACTGACAGGGTTGGTGGTGTCAAGGGAGCCCCAGGAGGACTGGTCTGGGAGTCACTGGTCCTGGCAGTGGGCTGATCCCAACTGGCCTTCCAGTAAAGTGACAAGAGCCTGGGGGAGGCTAAGGTTGGTGCGTGGGATGTCAGGTTTATCTGCCTGTCCCTTTCCCACATGGCTTACCAGCCTAACTTTTGACACCTGATAGGCACGGCAGGGACACTCAAATTGCAGAGTCACTCACAGTGAGATGTGTGTGAACAGCCCTCAGCACAGACGGGGAAGCAGCACCAAGTTGCCTGCTCCAGGCCTCTTTCTACCCTTCTGTCTGAGAGATCTTTGTCCCTGACCCTGTGTCAATCCAGTGGGCATGTGGAAAAAGACTGGCAGAGGTCAGGCTCAACTTAGTCACTGACTTGCTAGGCATTTAACCTCTCAGAGCCCTGCCCCTTCCCTCATGTGCACTGGAGGAAGTCAAAAGCCGGGCTTTGATGTCTTCCGAGGGGGCTGGAATAGGCTGAACATACTTCAGTTGATAGAATGGTTGCCTACCAGGCATGACCACTGGGTTCAATCCCCAGCATTACATAATCCAGGCATGATGGCGCATGCCTATAATTCTAGGATTCAGGAGGTGAAGGCTGGTGAAGTTCAGGGTCAGGCCAGCAAGACAGTTTAGCTGGTAAAGCACTTGCCGTGACAAGCCTGGTGACCTGAACTGATTCCCGTTGGTTCCTGGAATCCAGGGAGGGTGACAGTGATGGAAAGGGGACCCCTCTCCACAAACCTGCCTTCTGCCCCTCATGCAAACTGTGGCACATGCACCTGTGCACACCCTGCTCGTCCCAGCCGCGTCACAGATTGAAGGCCAGCCTGAGTTACATGGGAGGGACCCTGTCTCAAAAAACTAAAAAAGCAGTGACATGGGGGTGCCAGCCAGCTAAGGAAACATTGCCCGCTGGGGCCACAGAAGGCATAGTTATCCAGAAGGGCCAGTTCATAGCCACTGTCTGCTTGGCTTCAGATCTGCCTTTCTGATCTGTGACTCCCTTCCCACCCCTCAACTGTAAGAATGGGAGTAAGGGATGGGACAAGCACACACAGGCTCCTCCCTTCCCCCCCCACCCCGCCCTTCCTCACCATCTCCTCCTTCACAGTGGAAGAAGCATTGGTTTGTGCTGACGGATTCCAGCCTCAAATATTACAGGGACTCCACCGCCGAGGAGGTGAGGTGCCTGGGTGGGTGGGCCCTAGAAAGGGCGGGACCCATGGTTGGGGTCTTTGGAGTAGGGCTCCTCAGGGCCCATGTAGACCATGGTGGACCCTCTTGCTTTAGGCAGATGAACTGGATGGTGAGATCGACCTGCGCTCCTGCACAGACGTCACCGAGTATGCAGTACAGCGCAACTATGGCTTCCAGATCCATGTGAGGCTGCATTCAGATCCGGGAGGGGGAGGGTATAACCTGGAGCCCGGGGCAGGTGTTGGCCCTTCTCACTCATTTAACCTCAGTCCATGCTCAGCCAATCAGCAGTGCTGATGCCCATACTTAATGTGTCTAGGAAGGCCTGGTCTGAGGTATTTCTACAGGCTGGCAGAGGGTTTTGTACCCTCTGCCCACATGGCCTTATACACTCTCCTGGGAAAGGAGCACCACCTCCACAAGGGGAGGGAACACAGGGCTGGCTATGTGGCAAGCTACATGTGGAGTACCCTTGCAGACCAAAGATGCCGTTTATACCTTGTCGGCAATGACCTCGGGCATCCGGAGGAACTGGATTGAGGCTCTCAGGAAGACTGTGCGTCCAACTTCAGCCCCAGATGTCACCAAGTATGTCTTGGGCTGGGCTCTGGGGGGAGTGACAATGCTGTGTCCCTGAATGGGTTCTGTGTACTCACCCGAGGGCCTGGTGACTGTACCTTCCGGGCCTCAGTTCCTCTAGCAACAAAATGTGGGAAGAGCAGTAAATGCCCTTGGCCATCCAGAATCCATTGAGAACTTAGGGTTTGACCTGCTGTCTTGTTAGGTCCCCTTACATTTTAAAAGCTGGAAAAGGTCTTGGTGGTTTAGACAGGAGGCTTGAAAGGCAAAGTTGGCTCTTCTGCCTGCTGGGTATCATAACCTCTGCATACAGCTGCTGTGGTGGGGGGGGGGGGGGGGGCTGAGACTCGCAGCTGCTGCTGCTGCTGGGCAGAAGGAATGAAGTGTAGTGTTAAGATGTAAGCGTGAGTCCCCAAGCCTGGCTACACCTGGTTGTTCAGCCGTAGGCCAGAGGCTTTCCCATCTGTGTTTCAAATTCCTCATCTGTCATTTTGGATATCGTGTCTGCACCTATGTAGGCATGTGTCCAGGGCCCTTGGTGAATTCTGCAGAACCGTGCTGTTGGACTGTTTGGTATGCAGGCTGGAATGCTTTGCAGGATTGGCCCAGAAGTGTTAGTAAAGGCCTGCTGTGCAGCTCAGCAGCCCTTAGCTCACAGTTTGGCCATCAGGTCAGAGGGCACAGCTGAATTGCTGGGGAAGCCCTTTAGAGGGAATTGCTTCTATCTACCCCCACCAAAACCACCAGAATATGGTCATATGATCACATTGCTGCAGAGAATGCTGGGAAGTATAGTTTGGAATGACAGTGAACATAGCTGAGCTGCCACTGTCACTCAATGTCTCCACCTGTGCTGTGTTCACTCAGGTGTCAGTGTTTCCCTCGTCAGCCTTGCCTACACTGTGCCTGACCCTAAACCCAGGGCCTACATACATACATACATACATACATATATACATAGTCTGTGCACCACATGCATGCAGTGCCCATGGAGGTCAGCAGTAGGTGTCAGGTCCCCTGGGTTGTGAACTGCCGTGTGAGTTCAGGAGCCAGACCTTTTAACTGCTGAGCCAGCTCTTCCGCCCCTTGTGCATTTTTGTTGTTTTGTGCCTTTGCAAATACGTGCCTCAGCATTTGCAAAGACTCTCCCATTTGCTTTGCACACTGAGCCCCACATCCATGCCATGTGTGGCATTGCTGTCCCTTGTTCCAGATACAGCCACTGGGACTACGAGAGGGGATCTGCTGGTAGATGATCTCCTTAGGGTCTTTCCATGGTCTGATAATAATGAGGTGTGAGTTCTCCACCTCCAGTCAGGACTGCTTGCTCACGGGAGTCCATATCAGTCCTTGGCCTAGAGCCGGGCATATGGGTGACCCCTCTGAAAGTGTTTCTGTGAGTCCCAGTGGGCAAAGATTCCTCCCTGATGTGGCTCTGCTGACGTCCTAGGCTCTCAGACTGCAATAAGGAAAACACGCTGCATGGCTGTGGCACACAGAAGGGCTCCCTGAAGATAGGGGAGCAGCGGACAGGCTCTGAGGTTATCGGCCGGGGTGGCCCTCGCAGAGTGGATGGATCTCGGCAGTCACTGGACTACGTGGAGCTCTCTCCATTAACCCCAAGCTCCCCGCAGCGCGTGCGCACTCTGACCCGCTCCACTTCTGAGCGTCCACCCAAACAGGAGGATCTAGAGCGGGACCTGGCGCAACGCTCTGAGGAAAGGCGCAAGTGGTTTGAGTCCACGGACAGCAGGAACCCAGAGACTCCCAGTGGTGATGGGCCTCGAAGGGGCCTGGGTGCCCCCCTGACTGATGACCAGCAGAGCCGACTCAGTGAGGAGATTGAAAAGAAGTGGCAGGAACTGGAAAAGCTGCCCCTGCGGGAGAATAAGCGAGTGCCGCTCACTGCCCTGCTCAACCACGGCCGCAGCGAGCGCCGGGGACCCCCAAATGACAGCCATGAGGCCCTGGAGAAGGAGGTAGGCCCCTCTCCTCATTAGCTCCCCTCTGGCACAAATGCGCATGGCAGCCCTATGGTGATGTGCAGCTCACCCCATGTCTGGCCTGGCAACTGACACCTCAGGCTCGTCACGGGGACTATTTCCTCCAGCACTCAGAGTTGGTTTTGTTTTGTGTGGCTTTGTCTTTGTTCTGTCCTTAGCCACAGGGAAGAGACATGAGGAGAGGTGAAGAACAGGCCCTTTGCTGTGTGACCCTCTTTGCCCTCCTTGACATCTGACCTGCTAGGCCCCACTGTTTGACACACGTGGTGCAGAGGATGTCCCCATTACAATCATGGGATATAGATATCTGTTACCTCAGTGTGCTGTCCCCAACCTTGCCTGGTCATTGACGTAGCCTTCCTGGGCCCAGCCAGAAAGTCCCATTGTCTGTCTGTACCTCTCCCTCCCCGGGGCCCCTGCTCCTTCTCCAAACCAGAGCTGTCACTAAACGTGCTGGGGAAGTGGGGCTTATAGCCGTGTGGAGGTCGTGGCTGTGTGCTCCTTGCCTCCCCATCCCAGAATGCCCACTGGCCTCTTCCTGTGTCCCAGGTCCAATCTCTCCGTGCCCAGCTAGAAGCATGGAGGCTCCGAGGGGAAGCTCCTCAGAATGCCCCCAGACTCCAGGAGAACAGCCATATTCCTCCAGGCTACATCTCACAGGTGAGGCTGAGGAATTGCTTTGTGGGGTTGGGGGGGGGCAGGTTTCTGGTTGCTGTGTTGTCAGAGAGCAGCTGTGTTTGGGGAGCCTTTTCTGTATGTGAGAATTGTGCCAGGTGTTTGCTATACATTGTGTCATTTAATTTCCCACAGCTGGTGGGCATGATCACTGTGCCCATTTTACAGACAAGGCCACTGAGCTCTGAGCCCGAGGGTTCCCAGCCTACAGGTATCAGAGGTGGGATTTGAGCATGGGTCCGGCTGACTGCAGAACCTGTGTGTGAGTCCCCGTGTGACACTCTGCACTTGGACCTCTTCCCTGCACCACTGTGGGGAAGTGGGGAGCCAGTAGTCCTGGGAGTCGCTCTCTAAATTCAGGGAAAGGCTTTCCCTGCCTACCAAGGAGGTCTGTGGGACTTGGGAGCCTCCAGTTTGTCCTCAGGAGTTTGCTTGAGACAGCAGTTCTCAACAAGGGAGGGTGACTTTCTCCCTCTAGGGCAACTTTGTCCTCCCTGGGAAATGACTTTGTTCCCTGGGGACAGTTGTCTATGTCTGGGAATGATTTTGGGTATCACAACTGGACAACTAGCTCACTAGAAAAAAATTGTGTGTGTGTGCATATATTTATTATAAATTATAAATGGTTGTTTAGTATATAATGTACAAATAAAGTATACAATCCTTTTTATTGTGAATTCCATATAGAAATGGATATTTCTCAGACTGCTTGCTTTAATGACTTCTTATCCCTGTGGCCACAGTTTAACAAACACAGGTGGTTCTCATGTGTGTTGAGTGATATTTTTTGCAAATGAGTAAGATGAAAAGACGTCAAAACTTCTCAAGATCAATGTTGTAAGCAAATTCTTTGCTGAACTGAATGACAGCTCTCTGTTGAGACTGAGAATAACCTAGTCAGAATAGCTCACCTTTTTGGTTCTGTATAAATGTAATTCTAAACATGACAAAGTTCGAGGCCGAATTTGAATTCCTAGCATTTTCTCATGACTTGTTTAGTTCCAGACAATGTAGAAAACAATAAACTGAGTCCCAGTTTGTGGCATTGAGCAGTTTCCATGGTGTGAGCCTCCCTCTGCGACTGATGTCAAAGCCATGGTATGAAGGCCCTGAGCTTGGGATGGGTTTCTGCTGTCCTGGTGCAAGGTCAGGATGCAAGGATGCACACACAATATAAACACATCGTGGGGGCGGGGTGGGGCGGGGGTGGGAGGCAATGATAAGCATCGCCTTGACGTTTTCTGTCTTGTTACTTTCTATGGCTGTGATAAAATATCCTGACCAAAGCAACGTAAAGGAGAAAGGGCTTGTTTGGGCTCAGGGTTTGTCACAGCAGGAAGTTGGGGCAACAGGGCTCTGAAGCAGCTGTCACATGGCATCCATAGCCAGGGGACAGAGATAAATGCTGTGCTCAGCCACTTTGTTGCATTAGTGCAGTCTAGGACCCCAGCCTGATGGTGCTACTCTCCTTTATGGTAGCCTCTCCACCTCAGGTAAACTAATCAAGACAATTCCACTCAGGCACTGCTGTAAATAATCTCTCATAGTCAGTCTGGAGGCTCGTTGCCTAGGTGATAACAGATCTGTCTAGTTGATAATTAACACCAACCTTCACAACTTCCTTTATTTTTTTTTTAGTGTAATTCATTATAAGTATGTGTATTTAATTTTTTAAAAGTACTTTGGCTTAACACCTGGGTCACAGAATTCCGAATAATTTGGCAGTCAGCTGTCTGTAGTCTATACCATACATACCAGTATTAGGAGGAGGAAAGAATGCTGGGATCCCAGGGAGTTGACACGAGGAGGTTCTTGGAAAGTACCTTGATGGTCACAACTGCTCTGAGTTGTAGTGGTGAGTGGGTGGGGATATTGGCTATGTTGGAAGGTTCAGGAGGCTGGTCGCTGCCTACAGTAGAGCCCGCAAGGACAAGCTGAAGATGTGAGAATTCTCCAGGGGCACACAAGGTGATCTTGGAGTACAGTGCAGAAGGAGAGGACAAGGCTCAGGCCTCAGGGGCTAGGACAAGGCTGGCTGAGAACAGACTGACAGAGATCTAAAGGGAGATTTTGGGCCCTAGTGACTGGGGCTTAGGAGGGCAATGGAGCCCGTGGAGACCTGGTTCTGGGCCGCCACACTAGCAGGAGCTGGCTACTGCTGAGTTGTGGGTGGGAAGGTCAGTTGAAAGAGCAGAGGTTTGGGACACTGTTGAGGAGGCTCTACTGGGCTACTTGGGCTAAGAGAAGGTGGAAGTGGCCCAGTGTTATTAGGTCCTGCCCTGGGTGGGGTCTGGGGTCACTGAGTGGAACTGGGAACGCCTCTTTGGGAGGGTGCACTTGCTGGGGTCAGAGCAGTTGTGTGTGTTCAGTTTGCTATTAGAAGCAGCTTCAGATTTCATATTAGAAAAAGCTTGTGTTACTCAACTGAAAATTTAAAAGCACTACTATGGCTCCTAAGCACCTCAGTGAGAAACCTGAGGCCCAGAATTGTGGTGTGACCTTTGAACCATAGGCAGGCCTGGAGCTTTTGCTTTCTGGTCCTCTTCTGCCCCATTGGACACTTCAGAAGCTTGCCAGCGCTCCATCTTTGGGGCAGGCGAGAGGGCGAGACAGAAGTGCTCAGAAAACAGTGATAGCTGGGATGGCAGGCACAACAGAGAAGAGGGACTGACTGTACAGGAGGAGGTGATTGGAAACTCAGCTGACCCTGGAGAGGTGACTGCCAGGAAGAGATCCCCCAGCCTGTTCTCCCAGGCTGAGTGGGTGCCCCTCTTACAGGGCTGGGGTTTCAGTGGTGGGCCTGCTGTAGCGCTGAAGTAGCATAGGAGAAGGGCACTGTAGCTAATGCAATAGGTTCTAGGCAGAGAGGTGGCCAGTGTTGGGACATCTTGGATACTAAGGAAGGTAGGTCACAGTTGACACCTAGCTGGCTCTCACCCCCTTGCTGAGTTCTCCACAGATTTGGAATACTGTGCCCAGTAGCCCTTCTGCCCAGAGAGCCTCACAGCAGGTCCTTGTGAGGCCTCTGATGGAGGCTGAGGCTTACAGGTGAAGCATTTGGAGTATGGTGACTCATCTCTACTCCCTAGGTGGCCTGGTCTGTAAGGGCACAGTCAGAGGACAGGAGCAAAGGCCCAGAAGGACAGGTGTTACCCCCACACATACTCAGAACATCTGGATCCAGCCTTTCCCCACTATAAGCCTGCAATGGTCCCAAGAGTAGCTGCAGAAGTGGGTGGAGGTCTTGGTGGGGGAGGAGCTGTGTCCCTTTATGTGACTCTTACATACGTACCTTTGTTTCTTCCTTGCCCCAGCCCTTTTCGGTGGTCTAAATTTTTTTTTTCTTTTATTCATGTGGTGTGCACATGTGTGTGTGTGCTTATGTGGAGACCGGATGTTAATGTTTGTTGTTATTGTTGGTTTGGTTGATGTTTGTTTTGTTGTGTAGCCCTGGCTGTCCTGGAATTCACAAAGATCTGCCTGCCTTTGCCTCCTGGGTGCTAGGATTAAAGGTGTGCACCATCACACCTGCCTGGCCTCTCTTTACCTTTTTTAGATTGTGTGTGTGTGTGTGTATGTGTGTGTGTGTGTCTGCCCACCAAGGTCAGAAAAGAGTTTCTGAACCCCTGGAGCCGAAGTTCCAGTGGGGTAAGCCACCTGACCTGGGTCCCATGGAATAGCAGGAAGTGTTAACCCTGATCCATCTCTCTAGACATCCCCCTCCTCTTTTCTTTTGAGACCAAATTTCACTATTTAGCCTCACCTAGCCTGCATCTTGGGATGTAGACAGACTAAACTCTGCCTCCCAAGTGCTGGGATTAAAAGTGTGTACCACCATGCCCGACTATACCTTAAGTTTTTCAAACAGAGTCTCTCACTGAACCTAGAGCTTGCTGTGAGCTGGGGAGCTGCCTCTTTCACACCTAGCACTGAGGTTACTGGTGTGTTTATGTGGGTGCTAAAGAGCTGAACTCAGAAAATAGTTTATCCATTCAGCTATCTTTTCATCTCCCAAACACTTTTTTAATTACATAAGAAATATAGCCCTGCGTGATGGTGCATGCCTTTAATCCAAACACTCAGGAGGCAGAGTTCAAAGCCAACCTGGTGTACATAGTGAGTTTAAGGACAGCCAGAGCTACATAGTGAGACACTGATTCAAAACACCAAAAAATTGCCTGGCAGTGGTGGTACACACCTTTAATCCCAGCACTCAGAAGGCAGAGGCAGGCAGATCCCTGTGATTTCAAGACCAGCCTGGTCTACAGAGTGAGTTCCAGGACAGCCAGAGATACACAGAGAAGCCCTCTCTCAACAAAACAAAATATAATAAAAAACAAATTATACAAGAACTACATATTTTTTTTTAAAGTAATGAAAATACCAGGCATGGTGGCGCATGATCCCAGCATTTGGGAAGCTGAGGCCAAATGGTAAATTTAAGTCCAGCCTTAGCTAGAGGCTAAGGTCTTAGACCAAGACCTTGTCTTTAAAAACAAACAAACAAAAACAAACTATGGGCTGGGGCTGTGTGTGGCTCAATGATGGAGTGCTCACCTGGCATACTGAAGGCTATGGGTTCCACTGCAAAATTTATCTAAATTAAAAGGTTAAAAATGAGCCCACAAGGGCTGTTGAAATGACTTAGTATACTTGCCTCCAAACCTGAAGACTTGAGTTCCACCCCAGGAACCCACATGATAGAAGGAAGGAAACTTTAACCTCCACAGTGTACTGTGGCATTTGTGTACCCCACCCCTAAAAAAATGTAGGAAGATGGGTTGGAGAGATGGCTCAGAGGTTAAGAGCACTGGCTGCTCTTCCAGGGGTTATGAGTTCAATTCCCAACAACCACATGGTGGCCCACAACCATCTATAATGAGATCTGGTGCCCTCTTCTGGCACACAGGCATACACACAGGTAGAGCTCTTCACATTTTAAAAAAATGTAAAGAAATGAGCCCTGGTGCTCATTTCTTCTTACCCCACATGTACCTCTGCCCACCATTGCACACATCTAGATCAGCTTCCTGTGGCCAAGGGGACAAATTACTGCCAACAGCTGGGACAGTAACACAGACTTGCCAATCATCTTGCTGAAACCCAACACAGACTAAGTGGAGTGTGGGTGGGCCTGGGCCACCCTCCTTTTCTAGGCTGCAGGTGGGATCGTGCGCTCCGCAGTCTTGCCTGTTTCACAGCTTATGTTCCTTCCTTCATTCCAAAGCTTTTCACTCAGTGCTACTCTCCTCTCCTGGTTTATCTTCTGCCCTGCCCCACCCCCGTCCATTCCTCAGGCCACCAGATTGTCTAGGACAGTCTTCTGTTCCTATGGGCAGCTGGTTAGAAGTTTTAGTTCCTTTTCTCGAAGACGAAGGCAGTCCCAGGTCATATATGGATACCCTTGGAAAGATGTGATTCAGCCTGGCACAGTGTCCTTTCAGCATTTTCTGTGTTTTTGCATGCCTGGACTAGGCAGGCAGTGGCCTGTTTTGCACCCATGAATATTGTCAAGAGTCATCTTGCATTCCACAGCAGGCCACATGGCATCCCTGCCCTCCAGCAGTTACCTAGTGTCCTTTGCAGGCTTAGACCCCACCACTGACTCAGAGAACCCACTTGTGCCCTAGTCATTGTACACAGGTAGCTTCCTGTGGGATGTTCCTTCCTAGGAGTGGCTGCCCAGGCAAGGGTTAGAGTTACAAAAAAATAAAAATAAAAAAGCAATGATGCCTGTCATCCCAAGCACTCAGGAGGCTGAGGCAGGAGTGTTGTGAGTTCAAGGTCAACCTGGCTACATAGCAAGACCCTGTCTCAAAAGGATGATGATGACCCCAATCTGCCCATATACATCAGACACAGTGGCACTCCAACAGTAGACAGGGGTCTAACTACTTACCGTCTTGTCTGCAAACCATTTCTATGTCAACAGTTCCAGCTCATTTACTAAGGCCCTATCATGTGACTTACCCTGGCCTACACCCCAGGCCTAAGCTGGGTCAGGTGTACCTTGTCATCAGGCTATTATGTTCCAAGAGAAGCGGGACCTTGGGAGACAGGGGAGAGGCTGCCCAGGGGCAGTACCAGAAAGGTGTTTAAGATGGGCTGTGGGGGAAGTGAGTTCCCCAGAAGAGAAGCATTCCCACTGCAGGAGAAGAATAGTGTTGTTATTGAAGGGGGTGAACACATGCATGCTTGGTGGAGTCAGTTCTTGCATTCTCAGGCTTACACTGAGCCCTTTTACCATCCCAAGAACTGGTTTTATAACTATGAGGTTGCTTGGCAGTGACAGCTAGGCAGAGATGGGGCTGTGGGAGCCAGACTTTATTCTGCAAGTGTGCTATCACTGCAAGATTTGAAGCAGAAAGAGGGCTTGTGATGTTTGTGGCTGAGGGAACAGGTAGTGGGAACAGGTATGGACTCATTCATGGTGCCACATTTCAGAGCAGGGTAATGAGCCTAGCCCCAGGCAGGCTTGTACTAAGGCCTGGAGCCTGGAGGGGCTTCTAGTCCAGCCAATGGGGGCAGCCTCATGACCTCACTGGCCTCTGGATTCACAGGAAGCCTGTGAGCGCAGCCTGGCGGAGATGGAGTCCTCACACCGGCACGTGATGGATCAGCTGCAGCAGCACCATGAACGGGAGCTACAGCGGCTGCAGCAAGAGAAGGAGTGGCTCCTGGCTGAGGAGACGGCTGCCACAGCCTCAGGTGAGGACCAAGGGTGTGCCATGGGCAGGGCCTGGGGCTGCCACATTGAACTTGGAAGCCCCTTAAGTAGGGAGTTGGGGGAAGCAGTCAGTAGGGGTTGGAAGCGCCAGAAGTTCCCTGTGGTCCAGATTGAGAAGGAGGAAGTAAGGCAGTAAAAGACCTCTCCTCCCATGTGTTGTGACTTTTCTTCCTTGGGTTCTGTAGACATCGAGGGGTACCTCGAGCCACATACTATCTCTATGCCAGGGGAGAGACACCAATCAGCTAGTCTGTTCTGGTAGAATGTCACCTGCCTAGGTACTTGGTTAGACCCTGGGATGCTCAAGGAGTGGTTGTGACCTTTGCCCTACTGGAAGTGTATACCTCCCATACATTTCTCATGGGAGCACCCTGAGTGTTCATGGTATCCAGGGAAGTGAGGAAGCTGGACCCCAGAGAGGTTAGTGATTTGTCCCAAGTGACACAGCTTGGAAATGACAGAGCTGGGCTTTGAGAGCCAATATTCTGATTGCAAAGCTGGGCACTGAACTGCCTCACTTTTCCCAAGCCCAAAACAGGAAATAACCTGAGACAAGCAAATTCTATCCACCTCTTCTGTCCGCTGTGCCTGGCATATCCTGGCTAGCACCTCTGACTTTGCAAAGTCATGAAGTCATGTGAACCTGGAGCTTGTATCCTGCTGATACTGGCCAAGTGTTCCCTATGCTCAAGTCTACATGGTCACTTCTGCCAAGCCGAGGGCTGTGTTCATGTTTCAGGGCAGACCCACTTGGCAGGCAGCCTAGAGTAGCAGCTGTCCCTCCCCAACAGGATGCAGGCATCACCCAGTGATCCAGCACCAAAGTTTCTACAGTGAACTTGAACTTGATGGAAGTGACACTGTGTTAAATAAGAGACCACCAACAGCCTTGTATCCCTGCATGGCAGGGACTGCCATGGAGGGGGAATGAGATCCTCCCAATATTCAGTGGTGTTGCAAGTTAGAATTGTAGATAAATCTAAGGCTGGAGACTTGCATACTTCGTACCCTGCCCTGTGCAGTATGGGAAAAATGCTGGGTTTTTGGGAGCTCCCCAGTAGAAACAGCCTACAGGAGCCAGCGCTTGGGCCTCACTCTTCAGGCAGGGCAGATTGGTATTGATGGATGGCCCTCCAGGCACTACAGGGATGGTGTGAAGTACTGTGTGAGGCTAGCCAGAAACCACTAGTAGAAGGTGATACCAACATATCACCCCAGGTGAGCCCATCACACAGGATTACTTCAAAGAGGATCCAGAGAAGTTGACCAACTCACCCAAAGCCACTGGGTTCAGGGCACAGCTTCAGCTATGGTCTTTGCACCCCTCTGGCCCTGTCTGCACCAGTACAAATGGAATTGTGTAGATCCCCTTCCAACATGTCCTCTGCCTGTCTGCTCTGCTCCTAGCCATTGAAGCCATGAAGAAGGCATATCAAGAAGAGCTGAACCGGGAACTGAGCAAAACACGGAGTCTCCAACAGGGTCCAGATGGCCTGCAGAAGCAACACCAGTAAGATGGCAGCAGGGTCTGGGGTCTAGGGTGGATCTGCCTCTGAGCCAGGAGCACCACTTGCCCTGATAGATGTGCCTGGGGCTTTGCTGAGGGCCCTTGGCAGAGGACATATGAGTCATAAGTACTCAGGTCCTGGCCTGTGTGCCCCTTTAGTGTCTCCTAGAGCCGGTTGCTGCTCTTGACCACTAGGGCGTCTCCCTGCTCCAGCATTGTTCAGGTGCCTGAGCTATGGTGGTGTGAGAGGTAGTCCCTGAGCTAACCCTCCAGAGGCAACCCCTGCAGACCAGAGAGGCTGTTACCAGCCCACCGCTACAATGGTCTGAGTTCAAAACCACAAGTATCCCCAACCAACAGTGCTGTGACTCCAGGCCAAGCAGTGGCTCGAGAGTCACTGTGGTCCATTTCTGTCCCATCCTGTGCGGCCTAGGTTGGACATGGAGGCACTGAAGCAGGAACTGCAGGTGCTGTCTGAGAGGTACTCCCAGAAATGCCTGGAAATCGGTGCCCTGACACAGCAGGCAGAGGAGCGCGAGCATACCCTGCGGCGCTGCCAGCAGGAGGGTCAGGAGCTGCTGCGCCACAACCAGGTAGACTGGCCCGGAGAGGCTGTGACTAGGCAATGAAGGGGCTGGTGTCCCCACCCTGACATCCTATCCTCTCAGGAGCTGCACTCACACCTGTCAGAGGAGATCGACCGTCTACGCAGCTTCATCGCCTCGCAGGGCACAGGCAATAGCTGTGGGCGCAGCAGTGAGAGGAGCTCTTGTGAGCTGGAGGTAAATGGTCTCCCCTCTTCTGCCCTCTCTTCCCCTCCCCTCCCCTCCCCTGTGCCAGGCAACCCCTGGCTCTAGGACCTGTATGGAAGTTCCCTAGCAGGCTAGGTATCACCTGCAGGTGCCACTCAAAACTTTGGGATATTCCAGGCTAAGTCAGAATTCTAGCCTTTGATCCAATCTTGTCATCTTCCTGCTGTGTGACCATGCTCAGTCACTCGACCTTTGTGAGTCCCAATAATTTAAATATAAAACAGCTAGCATGTTGGGCATGGTGGCACACACCTGTAATTCCAGGACTCCAGAGGCAGAGGCAGGTGAATTTCTGTAAGTTCAAGGTTAGCCTGGGCTGCAAAGCAAGTTCCAATTCAGCCAGAACTAGATAGAGAAACTCTGTCTCAGAAGAAAAAGAAAAAGAAAGAAAAAAAAAAAAAAAAAAGCCAGGCAGGGATGACACACACCTTTAAATCTGGCACTCAAAGCCAGCCTGGCACAGAGAAAGTTCATGAGACACACCTTTAAATCTGGCACTCAAAGCCAGCCTGGCACAGAGAAAGTTCCAGGACAACCAGGGCTACAGAGAGAAACCCTGTCTCAAAAAACCAAAATAAAATAAAAAAAATTAAGGGGGCAGGGGCAGCTAGCACTCCAATTATGGGGGAAGTTGGAAGGAGGAAGTGTGAGTGATTCTAGGATCACCCAGCTTTTTGTTTCATTTATTAGCAAACATCTAAGGCAGTGGTTCTCAACCTTCCTAATGCTGAGACCCTTTAAAACAGCCTCATGCTGGGCATGGTGGGGAATCGAGTTCCAGGACAGCCAGAGAAACAGTGTTTTGAAAAACAAAACAAAACCAAAAAACAGTACCTCATGTTGAGGTGACCCCCCCCAACCATAAAATTATTTTCATTGCTACTTCATAACTATAATTTTACTAGTTATGAATGATAATGCAAATATCTGATATGTAGGATGGTCTTAGGCACCCTGTGAAAGGGTTGTTCCACACTCAAAGGCGTCACGAGCCACTGCTCTGAGGCTTGCTTCTATACATAGAAGTTCTAAGCCCTTTGACTGTTCTCTTTCATTGAGCTCATTAGTCAAGCACTGCCACTGTCTGCATTAAACCAATGGATAAACAGAAGTCAGTGGCCTTCCTGAGGCCACCCAGCTATTGGTATGGAAACTGGGGCTAGAACCAGGCAGTAGATCGCCAGTCTGAAGTTTAAAGGCTTTCCTGCTCAGCTGAGTTCAGAGGGTGCAGTGGGGGTCGTCCTGCTGCAGTCACATAGCTACAGTTCACAGTAGAGCCATAACAAACCCCTTGACCCTGGCACCTGGGTCTGGTACTATGTTAGTCTGTAGCTGAGGTAGCAGGGAGAGTCCTACTCACAATGTAAGAGTGAGGAAAAGGAGAACAGAGGCAGGGGGACTTCCTGGGGCAGTAGACTATAGGATGCAGGCCTCTCCGTGGGGATTGGGGTTGTACACAGGGCTTTGAGTCATCGAGATGTCAGCCTTCAGGGCAATATGGATCTGGGTAGCCTTGGCCTATGGTCCTGGCTCAGCCCAGCACATGTGTCCCTAGGTGCTCCTGAGAGTAAAAGAGAATGAACTCCAGTACCTGAAAAAGGAGGTGCAGTGCCTCCGGGATGAGCTCCAGGTGATGCACAAGGTAGGCAGCAACAGCTGTGGGGTTGGGCGTGCTCCAGGTGCCTCCCTGAGCCAGCCAACGTTGGCCTTATCCTCTCCTCGGGCCTTCCACGTAGGTCTCACTGTCCCATTACAGACAAGCATGATAAGAGAGAGGGGTATGACTCACCCAAGGTCATACTTGCTTTCAGGCATTCAAGGTCGTTTATTATTATTGAGCACCTAGTAGGTGCCAGGAATATAGCTGTGAACAGAACAGGTCACTATCCCAGCCTGGCTGTGGGTTGACTCCAAGTGTTGCTAGGAGTTGGGAAGCCCACACAGTTCTGTACAGCCATTGGCTCCTTCCTGCCTTCATTGAGATGTGGATGTTTGGTGGCTCTCTCTGGAGTATGAGCGGGGAGTGCGCTGGCTGTGCTTGGAGAATAGGCTGAGGGAACTTACTGAAAGATCAGAGCCCCTAGGCATGCCCTCCTGGGGCTCATCCTACCTCATTGTGACCATGAGCAAAGGCTTCGCCTCCCCAGGCCCTAACTGCCACCCCTCTAATGGGACAAGGAAGGACAATGAAGTCCCCATCACTGGAGGAACCTGGCCTTCTCTACTGACAGCAAGGGGCAAAGTGGGTGTGTGTCAGGGAGCAGGTGCTGCAGGCTCCAACCCTCAGCGCTTCCTCTGTGGCCCCAGCAAGGGGGCAAAGTGGGTGTGTGGCAGGGAGCAGGTGCTGCAGGCTCCAACCCTCAGCGCTTCCTCTGTGGCCCTAGGACAAGCGCTTCACGGGGAAGTACCAGGATGCATATGTGGAGCTGAACCACATCAAGACACGGTCAGAGCGTGAGATCGAGCAGCTGAAGGAGCACCTGCGCCTGGCCATGGCTGCCCTGCAGGAGAAGGAAGCTGTGAGAAACAGCTTGGCTGAGTAGAGGTGGGCGGGGACCCTGCGTCAAATCTGTGGTCGCTTACATGCAGCTGGATGGGCCAGCACTTCTTTCCCTGGCCCATTTCTCTTTCTGTAAGTGGCATTGTGGTACTGGCTACAAGGGAGTTGTTATGGCCATAAGACAGTCCAGAGTCTGCTGTGTCAACCTGCGCATGTTTATCCTGAGGTGATGACACATGGCTAGGTCAGGGCCCCACAGCCCTGCATCTTAGCCACTATCATGGTAACCGCCCCAGTAGTCTGCCCTTCCACAGGCTAGTGGTGACCCTGGGCACATTCCAAACTTTGCATTCAGTCTTCCCCCAGACCCCAAGCTTTGTGCCGCAGCCAATGCTGACCATAGAGCCCTAGAGATGCTTTCCTTCAGAGGGCTTGAAGTGATAAGATGTGATATGTGATGTATGATGACATGCCATGGCCTGTCTACCTCCTTGTTCTGACCAAACTGGACTTCCTAGGGTGTATGAGTCAGGCCACCCAGGCCTTGTGCAGAGCAGCCTAGAGAAGTGGCTCTGGCCCAGCTTCAGGGCCAGCAGCCATGGGCAGTTTTGCTTGTACTTTGGCTTGGCCCACACTGGCAGGCCGAAGCCTGAGGCCTGCCTTCCCAGTGCTCAGTGGTCACTCTTGCCTTCCAGGTCCCTGTGGTTCAGCTCAGCTGAGGACCCTCCAGCGCCGAGGGACCAGCCACCCTCCTTCTCTGACAGAAGTCAGAAGCCAAGCTTTCTTCTCTCCCTGGGTCACATGTGCACTCACACCTGCTACACACATGCACGCGCACTCGCACATGCACACACACATGTACACACACATGTACACACACACGTACACACACACACACACACACACACACACACACACACACAGACACACACTGCGGATCTGAGCTCGTCCCTCGCACTGGGTCTTACCTTGCACCTTCTTCGGGATTTTATATGTGAAGAGATTTTTTATATAGAATTTTTGCCTTTTTTTCCTAAAACACTTTAAACTTTATAAAAGGCAATTCTTGGTGGCATGTGCCTCTAGCACTGGCTCCTGTGCCCTCCACTGCCCTGCTTGGGCCTCCTTCCTACCCTGGGCATCTTGCAAAGGCCCAAGCAGGGCCAGAGTGAGTTGACCAGAAGGAAAAGGCCGGGAGCAGCCCTCTCTTCCTGCCCTACCTCTACTAACTACTCCTGCCCTGCCAGGTCCACACCCTGGCCTCTGGACAGGGGAGCCAATGGACAGAGAAAGGAGCCTGTAGCTGTCCCCATAGCTTCACTCTGAGGGGCGCTGGGTGTGGCCCACTAGCGCTAACCATGAAGACACATCTCTTCTGTCCCATGAGTCATCCTAACAATAAAACCTTCCAGCAACTCTGGCTTTGTGGATGGCTGGGCAGGGTAGGAAATGGCAACCAGATTCTTAATGGCTTCTGTATTCTACCTCACCTGAAGCAGGAGTCTGTGGGCTTCCGAGCGTAGAGCTGAGTCCAGTTCATTCCCTGGACCTTGGACATTTGCGTGGTTTGAGGGTAGCAGCAGCAGTAGGGGAACCCACTCTCTACCCTGACAGCAACCAGAAATTGCTCTCTAACCTGGTTCCCTGGTGGATCACCAATGGCTCATCTCAGGCTCACTCATCAACTCTTTATCTGAGAAGCTGTAGACTTGTAAGAGAGGGCAGGTGCTGAGACTGTGCTGCCCACACACACACCATAACATCCTCCCTGGAGCCTCAGTTTGCTTCTTCAGAAAATGGGTGTTTTTTATCATTCCCTGCACTGGGCTGAGATAATGCCCAGAGGTTCTCCAGCCCTGGACAGAGGTGGGAGTAGAGACAGGGAATGTGGCCATCATGGTAGACTGTACCCATGGTCACTTTTTCAAGATCCAGAAACCATATTGGGTTGTGTCCCAGGAGACTGGGATCACACAGGAGACACTGGCTTGGCCTGATGTGGGTTCAAGAACAGCTTCAAGATCAATTTTCCCAAATGGAAAATTCAAGAAGGGCAATCCAAGCAGAGCCACCAGCAGGAATAACTGCTCTTCAATCATTCCTGATGTGTTTTAGGGAAGACACAGCACAGGGACCTCACAGAGCAGTGGTTCTCAACCTGTGGGTCCCAACGCTTTGGGGGGCTCATCAAACAACCTTTTCACAGGGTCGCTTATCAGACATTTACATTTCAATTCATAACAGTAGTAAAATTACAGTTATGAAGTAGCATTAAAAATGAGGAACCTTATTAAAGGGTCGCAGCATCAGGAAGGTTGAGGACAACTATCATAGAGTATAGCAGTGTTTCTCTACATCCTTCCCTATGATTGGTTCAAGAATAGCCTGGATGGCAGGCAGTTCCGCCAATGAGATGCAAGAGAAGTCTGTGTCTGTAGTGTGATTCTGGATGGGCTCTCTTTATTACTGTTCTTTTATACAGACACCCTCTGCCCAAAGTTTCTTAGAGATGATGGCCATCTGTGACTGGCAGCCCAGGCATCCATATACAGTTGAGAGCCTAAGCCCGCCTCTGTCCTCATTCTCACCTCCTTCCTTGAAAGCCCATGCTGCTGTGCTTAGGGTGACAAGTCACCAAACCCTGCATAGTAGTCGTTGTAAACAAAAGTCTTCACTCCCCAGTTCTAGAGTAGCTCAAAAGACTTGACAGTACCAAGTGTTAGTTAGCCAACTCTGGGACACCAGGGATTGTCATGCTCGGCTGGCACCAGCATACTTGGCACACTGTGGCAGCTTTTTGGAAGTTTCTTTGTGGGATAAACCTACATCTCCACTCAGGAGGCAGAGGCAGGCGGATCTCTGTGAGTTCAAGGCCATCCTGGTCTCCAGAACGATTGCCAGGATAGGCTCTAAAGCTACACAGAGAAACCCTGTCTCCAAAAACAAAAACAAACAAAAAACCCTACATCTCCCCTCTGACCCAGTGCTTGTCTCCTTGTGCAGGCACCTAGAGCATCAACGGCCAGTCCACTGCACAACTAGACAGTGACATTCATGTCAGCTGCCCCTCCATGGAGAGTAAGTGGCTGGGAGTGTGGCTTCTTTGGTAGAGTTGCTCTCCCAGCAAGCAGGAAGCCCTGGGTTCAGTCCATAGCCCTGTGTAAGCCAGGCAGTAATCTCAAGATATCTGTAGTCTGACTGCCTCCCTGATGGCTGACTCCCTTAGAAAGGGCTTCAGCTGTGGAATTGGCACTGCTTATGAGTAATACTTGGAAATGCTGTGATGTCACTTGTCAGTCAAAAACAAGTTAGGGTCAGCCCAGGCTCAAGGGCAGTAGCAAGGCCTGGTCAGTAGAGGTGGTTCTTCAAGGCCAGTTCTCTTCCCAGCCTCCTGTTCCTCTGAGGTAGGATCCTCTGTAGGGTCCTCTTCAGGGTCCGTCCTCAGCTATTCTGTGTAAGCCTGTTAATCCCTGTGCTTGGGAAATGGAGGCAGGAAGATCTGAAGTTCAAAGTTACCCTCAGCTGTATAGCAAGCTCCAGGACAGCCTGGACTACATGTGATCCAATTTCTCACCCCCCAAAAAGAACAATTGTTTATTTGTACGTGATGATATGACAATCAACCATAACTGCTGTGTGCAAAAAATATGGGTGAATCTTCCAGACTTAATGGTTAAGCAGGCCGGGCGTTGGTGGCACACGCCTTTAATCCCAGCACTTGGGAGGCAGAGGCAGGCAGATATCTGTGAGTTCAAGGCCAGCCTGGTCTACAGAGCTAGTTCCAGGACAGCCTCCAAAGCTACACAGAGAAACCCTGTCTCAGAAAACAAACAAGTTTCCAGCAGATGTCAGCTCAGCCACACAGGAGAAGAGCTTAGACCCCTCCATTATTGGACATTTGGCCTGAAGCACAGCTGTCTGGCTGTTTAGTCTGGTTATGGCCTCAGGCATCCAGCCATTGCTATAGAAATAGCTCCATTATTGCCTCTGATGTCATCTCCCTTTCTGGGCTTAGTTTCTTGATCTGTTAAATGGGGCAGTAATGCCCCAGGCAGCTGTGGGTATTAAACTACTAACCTTCAGTTATCTATTGCTTTGTAAGCAACTACCATAAACTTGACGGCTAAGAATGGCAATGTTCTTATTCACTCTCCCATACTTATGGCAGGCCTGGGCCAGTCTCTTGTGTCCTTCCTGCAGCTACATCAGGTGACCAGAGTGCAGGTCACCAAGTTTCTCTGTGGATGTCTATCATAGCTTCTCCCTTCATAGGTATGCCACCTTAGTGTGATGCCTGCCTCAGTGTGTAGTGGTCCTTTGCTTCCTGGAGGCAGTAATCTCAAGATATCTGTAGTCTGACTGCCTCCCTGATGGCTGACTCCCTTAGAAAGGGCTTCAGCTGTGGAATTGGCACTGCTTATGAGTAATACTTGGAAATGCTGTGATGTCACTTGTCAGTCAAAAACAAGTTAGGGTCAGCCCAGGCTCAAGGGCAGTAGCAAGGCCTGGTCAGTAGAGGTGGTTCTTCAAGGCCAGTTCTCTTCCCAGCCTCCTGTTCCTCTGAGGTAGGATCCTCTGTAGGGTCCTCTTCAGGGTCCGTCCTCAGCTATTCTGTGTCTGGGTGTTCTCTGTGCTGACCTTGACCACTTGTCCTTGGCTCCTCAACATCTAGCCACCAATCTGTCCCCAGCCTGTTCTCAGAAACTTAGATAGGGAGTCGCTATCCCAAGGCTGACATGCAGTGTGTCTTCCCTCTAACCTGTGCTTTAGCTCCTACTTGTCCTGAAAGCAACTTGTGGATGAGGCCCTGAAGAGCCAGCCTCTCATCTTGGGTCTTCCTTGGCCTATGAAGGAGGTTTGGAACCTGGAGACAGGCAGCTTATCCAAGAGGCCACAGTCAGCACAGACCCAGGTGGGGAGACCAGGGGAGGCTTCCTGGAGGAAGAGGTGCTGGAGCTGAGCAGGAATTAGCCAGGCCTGGAGTTGGAAATGAGTCTGCCTCTTAGCATCATATTCATGGTTCTGAGTTTGGAGAGATTCTCATTCCAGAAATGTGCTGTCGCCACAGCCTGGAGCTCAGTCTGTGGGGGGACAGCGGATGAGGCCGGAACAGCGGGGAGAGTGGAGCCTTGTGTCCTGAATGGGCTTCAGGACTTGGGCAACTTCTAGAGTGCATAAAACATCTGGTTCTGGTTAGAGGTCTGGGTAAAGATGGTGGGGCCTGGAACACTGTTAAGGTCCTGGCCCAGGAGGCAGGCACAGAGACGCCTCAGGTACAGCAGTACCAGGGTAGGGGACATACGGGCTCCATGCAGTGGGGAGCAGGTGGCCAGCAGGACTGGGACCAAAAGCACACACACACACAAACACACACACACACACACACACACACACACACATACACACAAACACACGAGAGAGAGAGAGAGAGAGAGAGAGAGAGAGAGAGAGAGAGAGAGAGAGAGAGAGCGCTATGGGACTTGCCAGGGCATAGAGCTCAGGGTCTGCGAGGGGGAAAGGAGTGTCGATGACTTAATGGCACTATTCTGATGTCCCTGTTCCTCAGTGTCCCAATGGCTCCCTGGAAGGTCTTGCCAACGGCCCTCCTCTGCTGGCCTGTCCCTCTGCATGCCTCACTGCAGCACCCAAGTGGTCCTCCCTTCCACAGAGACCCTGTGACCTTACTCTTTGACTCTAGGGACCTGCAGGGAAGGAGGAATGTTGTACTTGGGCTGGCAGAAATGAAGATATTCTGAAGAGACATTGGTGTCTCCCAGTCTCAGACTGTTGAAACCATGGACCCTGGAGAAATGGGGATTTCCCCAAGAATTTCATGCTGGGGGGAGGAGAGACCAGCTGGGACAATTTCAACTCGGACGTCTTAGAGAAGGAAGGCCAGACAGTACCCCCAGGACTGCCTAAATATGCAAATCCTTGACCTTCTATGTCAATTTATCTCACTTGAGGATCCAGAAAATGGATTTGCTCCTCTTCCCATCATGGCCACGTTAAGCAAGTTTTTTGTCTTTTTTCCACTATTAATTTGACTGTTTTAATTGTCTTATTGAAGATGGGTGTCTGAATCCAACCTAGGGCACTGGCTGTGACCCCCAAGTTCAATAACAATATTACCTCAGGAAGCAGGTCCCACTCCTCTTCCCCTGGGCATACCACAGTCATTCTGTCTCTCTCCTCACCGACATAGCTTCGGGAGGTTGAATAATTGAGAAAGGTAAGGTCTGAGAATCAGGTACCCCTCCATCATATTCCTCTTCCTAGCTCTGCAACCTTGGCCTCGATTTCCTCAACTATACAATAGTGGCCACTTTGCTAAGTGTTGTGAAGGTGAGACAGCTAATGACAGGCAGGACATCCTGAGGAGAGTGCCTGGTGCCTCATAAAACTCAAGGCACACATGAG